TATCCGATCCAATTGCATTCACAAAAGAACCCAAATATTCTCCTTCAAAAAGCGTCTGTAAATTCATTTAGGATTAGGAAATGTGTAGTCCATCGGTTTTGAATTTAATGGTGGATTCCCGTTCCTAAATGCATGTATTTTTGTTAAGTCTTTGCTACAGCTATGGGGTCTATAGTTCAATTAAATTTTGGTCTTAAGTTTCTCTATCGTGGATGGGTATTAATTCTTCTTTTTTCCTCGTGTTCGCGAAGAACTCATTTCTTACCTTGTATTTCAAGGAGCCGTAAAGGCTAGACTCCTTCTTCGAGTCAAGCAGTCCGTAGAACCAAGGAACAGGCCCAAAGTTGGAAGAATCTGTGTAGGCCAGGGAGTTGAAGATTTTGGGCCAAGAAGATCAAATTTGTTTTTGAAATATTATATTTTATTTATTTTGGGCCCTAAGCCCACTTGTTATTTTGAATTTAAATTTGGGAATTTTATCAAAACAACAATATGTTAGTTTTTTTGGTGACAATATTTTAATATTTAGTAATACTAGCATGTTTTAATTACTTTAGATTAGTAATACCGTATTTTTTTTCCTTGTATTATGGTATGTATATTTATAAAAAAAAACTATAGAAAAGATGGAAATTATAACATAAAAAAGGTAAGTAGTATTAATAATCCTTCAGTTACTTTTTAAAAGCTGTAGTTTTGGCATATATTAATTTGAACGTTTTTTTTCTTCTTCCCTGTTCTTCATGTTTAAAAATGATTATAAACATATTTGTCTCCTCTATTATTCAATTGATAAAGAAGCTATATTATACAATTCGAATTCTGCAAATATAATCGAATACGAAAATTTTTTGAAAGCGGAAATTTTCGAATCCTACACCAACAATTTATTCCTTTCGATTTTATTCATACTTTGGAGATCAGGTATTTTTTTAAATTTTTTAATATGAATACGTTAAATGTTTGTATGATTTGAATTTTTTTTGAAAGATCATCTTATATTCCATTTATATCAATATAAAATCTCTGAACAATATAAGCAACAATAATATAATTATATATGATTATATGATGTGTACGGCTGGATATGTGTTTGATTCTGTTTAGACCCATATTAGTTATGTTTTTTTTATTTCTTGTTTTTAACAATATGAAATTCTATATGTATTAATTTTGAAACGGTTGTTAGTGTGTGATAAAAGTTGTGAATTTGAGTTCGAACTTTACCGATTTTGATACCCTTTGAAACGTACACTTTTTTGATTGTAGATTGGACACATTTTTTTTTGGATTTTGGAATACTATTGAAATGTGATCATCACTTATATATTTGTTATTGTAGCTATGGGAAGCATTAGTTTATTGGTCATGCATTCTGGGAGGTGGAACAATGAAAATTGCTATGTTGATTACAGTACGGAAGCAATTGTGTTAAAAGAGCATGCGACATTTAGAGAACTAATGGATCTTGTTTCAAATCAAATTTGTGTTGACTTGAGCTTCAACATTGTGAAACTTAAATATAAGATAGAGGGTAGTACTGCACCTCTGGAAATACACAACGACATGGGCGTGAGAGTGTATGTGTCGTTGAAAAAAATAACAAAGAATTGTCAAAGTATCCTATATGTGTATCCGTATTTGTGAACGACTGTCAATTAGCTGATATAAATATGTTTGAAGATGGATTCGAAATGTGTGGGCCTGGTGGAATAGATATAGTTGATACAGAATCATTAGTGCTTAGTGTGCAGAACAATAGCGATAACATGAATTGCGACATTATTACAAACGCCAAACATAAGGTAGTGTTGGAAGATCAAGTTTATAAGGACAAGGGAACTTTAAAGGCTGTGATGACGCAATACGCTATTGATCATAGATTCCAATGGAAAACGGACAGATCGAGTCAAACATGGTATGTGTATTTGGGTTGGATTCTCTTATAATTTTTTTTCATTATATTTTTTACATTATATCAAATATTTATTTGTATTTTACCTAATTCTAATATGGTGTTATTCAAACAGTTATACACTTGTTTGTGTCTCTGATAATTGTGGGTGGGTGTTGAAGTCGTTAAGTATCAATAAATCTGGAATGTTCAGAATTAGAAAATTCGTAGATGATCACACGTGTCCATTGAAAGATAAGGTTTATGAACAACGTCAAGCAACAAGCAATCTTAATGGAGGTATGATACAACCCAAGTTAGTTGATCATAAAAGGAAGTTGACGCCAAAGGATATACAACAAGATGTCAGCTTAGCTCTTAGAGTAAATGTATCATACTCAGTGGCGTGGAAGGCTAAATAAAAAGGATGTAATTTCTTTAAGAGGTACCCCATCTGGTTCTTATGGTAAACTTTCGAGCTACTTATACGTATTGGACGCTACCTACCCTGGATCTCATATAAGGATGAAGAAAACCAATGAATCTTTATCTTTTTATTTCGCTCTTCCCGTTCATAAAAGGTTTTGAGTTTTGTAAACCAATTGTCGTAGTTGATGGCAGCTACCTCAGGGGCACTTACAATGGAGTATTTGTTTCTGCAAGTACTGTTGATGGAGCAGGTATTGGAATGATAATATATACACTTTGTTTTGTTGATTAATATATTTATTCTATATGAAATAAAAACTTTATTAAATGTTTTGTCTGTAGGAAATATATTGCTGCTGGCATATGGAATTATTAATTCAGAAAATGATGCATCCTGGACTTGGTTTTTTGAACAGTTTAGAGAAGCGCATGGCGTTAAATATAACATGTGCGTTGTGTCTAATCGAAACGAAAGTATTATAAAGGCAGTTTCGAGGGTATTTGATAGAGTTCCTCATTATGCCTGTATTTGGCATTTGTGGAAAAATGTGAAAACACTATTTAAAAAGTCACACAATAGTCTGTCGGAAGTTTTTATGGGATGACAAAGGCATACAAACAATCTGAATTTGATGAACTGATGGAAAAGGTTGAACAAGTTGATGTTCGTGTAAAAAATTACTTGGAATCAGCACGTTATGAAAAATGGGCTAGGGTATATGCAACCGTTGATCGAGGAATGTTTATGACATCAAACATAGCTGAGTGCATAAATGCTTGTCTATTTGAAGCAAGGGAATTGCCGGTATACAATTTTCTTGAGGAATTAAGATAGATGTTTGCAAGATGGAATTTGAAAAATCATACGTCTGCTTCACATACATTCACCACACTTTGTGGTAGACCACAAGAGATGCTTGTTGCTAATGAAGAAGCATCATTACATATGAAGGTATGTTGTTACGATTTATATGTTCATCAAAATTATATGACATAAATGTTTTATTTTTGTAGGTTGTGCCATCAAATAACTATGTGTTTAGTGTTCATCACGAAGGAAGAACTTACATTGTTTGTTTGGAAAATAAAACTTGTACTTGCAAGAGGTTTCAAATAGATGAAATACCATGTTCGCACACTTGGGCTGTTTTAAAGAAGAAACATTTTGATGTTGGGTCATATTGTTCCGACGTGTACAAGCCAAGTAACTTGTTGAATACATATAGCATTCCAATTCGTCCGTTACCTGATCAAAACGAGTGGAATGTACCTGGGTATATTAAGGACTGGATAGTGCAGCCTCCAAATCACAAAAGCTCCCTGGAAGGCCATCCAAAAAGTATCGTGACAAGACGTATAGCGAGCTATATTGTAAGAAGAGAAAGAATTCTTGCAGTACGTGTGGGTTTAAAGGGCATAATAGGCGTTCATGTAGGAATGGACCGTGTATTGTGTAGTTAATGATGTTTCATTTTTTGTATATTTTTAGAGTTAGGTTTCTTCCAGACTTCTAATGCCTTCTGGGTAATAAAATAACATGGACTTCTTTGTTCATGGTTGTATCTTGAAATGTATTCGCTCTACGTCTTCTCTCGAATAATATTACTTGTATTCGAAATCTGATTGTATCTACGTTTTAATACCAAACGTATACATCCATTTGAATGCATACAATTGTTGGATTCTTCTATTCTAAATTTGGCAAATATTTTTTTTGTATACGTTGTCTTTCGATAAGTGTTCATTCATATCCATGTTTTCAATATATATTATATTTGTCCTATCTAAATTTTATGAGTGAACTTGTATGTGTCACATACAAAACCTTTGCAGTTACTTGTATTCCAGTTGAATTGTATTTATAATATAATATAAATTATATTTTGTAACATTTTAATGAATGCAAATTTTTTTTCTTCGTTTTCTATTAAAATGTATTTGTATCCCTGGTACTAATATATTTTGAGGAAGTGTTCATATTTATGTTTTTAATCTATATTGTATTTGCTCTATCTATAATGTATGCGTAAAATTGTATGAGTAAGAAACAAAATAAGTGCAGTTACTTGTATTCAAGTTAAATTGTATTTATAATATAATATAAATTATTTTTGTAACATTTTAAAGCATACAATTTTATTTTTTTGGTATACGTGTTCTCTCTAAAAGTATTTATATTCGCTATACGTATTCTATCTTTTTTATGTTGTTAGTATTATTAATTGTATTTACAATTTAATAATTGAATACCAAGTCTTACATCCATTTGAAACATATGAATGCATACAGTTTGCTAGATTATTCTAATTGTTTTGGTATACCTTTTATAACGAAATGTATTCGTATCCATGATTTTAATCTACATTATATTTGTTCTATATATATTGTATGTTGGTAGAATCATATGTATGTTGATAGAATCATATTTATTGCATTTAAACATCAAAAATGAGTTTTGTGTACCCCACATGCAATACTTAAGCTTGAACACTTTAATATTAACCCAAAACCTTTGAAACCATAACTTCAAGATTTTATACATTAATAAACACAAAAGAACTGGAACCCTTTAAAATCGTTTCATAGAATACAAAAACTAATGTCCAATTACACATCAATAAATGGACAACAACTAATCTATTTGAATTGTATCAATCTCCTCCATTGCTACATTGAATCAGCTATATCGTGGAGGTGCTTCATTGTCACCTATTGCTCCGGAATCATTCTTTTGTTGTCCATAATTCCAAAGAAGTGTAGCATATCTTGATCGTAAATACGATGCAACCAAAATATTCGCTGGAATACCTTGACCGTATGATAGGTATTCGGCAAAAGCTAGCATATAAATACCACAATCCCTATAATATAAGAAATTAAAAGTTAGTACATTAAAGAAATCATTCTCTTGTTGAGCTTGCAATACATCAATTCCTTTATTGTTGTAATATTCATTGACTGATAACTTCAAAGGGATCAACTGAGACAGTTTAACTATCTCTGCCTTGATAGCTGCATCGTGACTTGCTGCCCTATATGAGTCATACACGTTGATACACTTATCATTCAATGATATCACAGCCAACACCCAATGAAATTTCTCCTTGACGTGGACAGGAACAAAAACATAATCAATCTTATGCCAAGGTGTAGCAGCATGCATTTTGTACCCTCTAATGTATTCACCAATGACATGCTCTTCATCGGCACAACCAACATCGCTATCTAAATCCAAATATTTTTCAAATAGCAGAGATCTTTGAACTAAATACACAATCTACAGTTGTGTATTTATAGCTGCCTCCAACATTATACTTGGCTTTTTTTCGTAGATATTATAAAATCACATCAACATGCTTACAAATTTAAACACAAATGTATAAATACTCTAACTACTAATCAATCATTGTTTGTAAATATAAATGCTAAACAACTTTTACCGAGTTGTTCAATAACTGTCCTTTGAAAAACAGATTATAGAACCAATTCTTATTGTCTACTATGAGAACGCCAAGGTTAATGGCCACAGAAATTTCAGCTAGATTCTTCTAGTAATGGTCTTGATCATGCTTCCTAAAAACAGAATAAAAATAGAAACAGTATACCATTCATTAAAAAAATAAAGTAATTACTATCAACATTTAAATACAAAAAAAACAAGAAAACCTATATATAAGCTGCATCTAACAATAACTGTTGTTGAAACACAAACAAACATTTAACCGAATACAAAAATTTAAACAGTTATATTTTAAAAATATCTTGTAATTATTCACCAATGACTTACTTTCTGTCATGCTTTGTAAGTAAGCCATCTCGGATCCATGAACGGAACGCATCCCACAACGTTATATCATAATCGCCAGATATCAAATCAAATATAAAAGGGTGTTTCAATTAAAAAATGTGGGGCTGACTTGATGAACTACCTGAAATGGTTCAAAACACTATAAATTAAATACACACTAACATTAGCAATAAAAAAAATGATTACATTAACAAAAGTATTAAAATAATGAAATATTGTACCAGCAAATGATCCAAAATTGATAAGATACGGAGATGTATTATAAGGACATGGACGTCTATTCCTACGCGTAGGTAATGGCGTCTGTTCGTTATTGCTGATAGGTTGAACTATCATCAAATTTTCACCGTTCGTACCCAATTGGACATCGATAGTGGCCTGATCTGCCTTTGTTATAATGCATCCTGCAATTGTTGTTATACAAAATCAGAACTTCAATAAAGTGTTGATATACAAAATCAGGACTTCAACAAAAGACGCTAAAAAAATCGAAACCGAAATTTGAACTAACCTTGCCACCACGAAATCTATTTTTAATAATGAATCTAGCTCAAAAATCTTCTTGATTCCTTGATAATCAATGGCTTTTCCTAATCTTAAAAATTGAAAAAAAAAATCACAACAGATGGACAAAAAATACAAAATCATAAATGTATGATGTATATTAAAACAAAAATCACATAAATTGTCCATAAATTCTTGATAAACAAAATCTGAACTTGAACAAAAAACGCTCAAAAAATCAAAACCAAAATTTAATCTAACCTTTCCACCACGAAATCTGCTTTAATAATGAACCTAGCTCGAGAATCTGCTTGAATCCTTGATAACAATGGCTTTGATGAAGAAATCTGGAAAATTTGAACAAGGAACTAGAAAATTTTTGGCTGAAAATATTGAATTGATTTTAATTTTTACCTTTCTTGGAACTTTACACTAAAATTTAATTAATTAATTTCTTTTTTTTCATTAAATGTTATTGGACCATGTTTTGGTCCAATCAACGTGTTTCCATTTATATATTAATTTAATAATACCAAAATATACTAAAATCTGAAATACACATATTTAATAAAAATATGTACAATTATAACATATTGCTATTTTGTCATTTTCACTAAAAATTTTAAATTAATGTTATTTTGATTAATTATGTTCTTAAAGTTGTCTTAATTGCTAATTTTTATTTTAGGACAGGTACAATGGGCCTGAGGTCTAAAAACGAAGTGGGTTAAAGACCAAAAAGGTCAAATGGGTTCAAATATCGGTTCAGGCGGACAAAAATTTTGGACCCAACTATCTCTCTCTCTTGCTCTTATTTCTTCGTTTATTTATTTGCTATTATTTATTGTTAGTTTTAGGGTCGACAATTTCAAATTCCCCGTGAAACATCGTGATGTTTTATCGACTTAAAATTAAATTAGATTTAAATAGATTTAAAATAACAAATTTTACAAGTTTGATGTTTTACTTAGATAAAAAGTTATGAATTTACTTTCAAACAATTCTAAATAATTTTTACCTCAAAAAATTCAAGCTACATAAATTTAGCTAAATATTTTAATTGTTGGATAATCGCAAGTAAGCAGACGTCTTAGATGCTTTCAAAAACCATCCTAACATGTTAATAAGAATTCCCGAACTCCTCTAAAGTTTTCAAATTGTTTTTTCTGTTAAGTTTTTGGAAAAAGTAGTTTTTTTTTAATTTTCCTTTAAAAATTAAGTGGCAACTCTAAACAAGTTCAAAACATTACAAAACACATTTATATTTTCTGAAAAACTTTCGAATAAAACAACCATGATAAACGAAAGTTGAGATTGAGGGCCCGTTTGGATGAGCTTAATAAAAGCAGCTTTAAAAAAGTACTTTTAAAAGTGCTGAAACTTATTTTTAAAATAAGTAGTTATGCGTTTGGATAAAAGTGCTGAAATTGTTATGTCAAACGTGAAAAGGGAAAAATGGAAGAAAGAAATGTTAGGGTTATATGGGTAATTT